ACAGCCACAAAGTTAAGTTCTTGTTTTTTCTGTCTTATAGTTGCTTTTTAAGCTCTTACCAGTAGCATTCTGTCATTTGGTATTTACAAGAACGATATACTTTGATTAAGGAGAGCATATCAAGACACTATTGTTGCCAATTATTTATGTTTTAGTACTTTTTGTCTTCCTTTCATTGTTTGGAATATAATACTGCCAGGTTTTAATTTCACTACATGATAACTTTTGAAACAATTCGATCATTACACGTTCATAAAAGTTTTAATCTTGTAAATTTTATGAAAAATGCTGTTGGTGTCACTGTTATTTTCTTTCTTTTCTTCTGAATTTAAAATTATTATTATTACAGCTTCATATGCAGAACAAATGTGTGTGCTGGTCACGTTTGTATGACCAGTTTGCCAGGTCGGTTCGTTCGGTTTATTATGGGATAATTAATCAGTGTAGTTGTAAATTTGCAAAGTATCCTTCGTGGGTTAGTCGTCTTCTACATTCTGCAATTTATTTGCAGCTTTGGGAAAGGATATCACGTTTAGTCCAGCCCCTTCCAGTTATTGGGAAAAGATGCCACGGGCAGCAAGAACAAAGTGGCGCACTGCCGGCGCTGAGGGGTCGAGACCAAGGGGGAGGCCTCATTCGGACCGCATCGCGCCGGCTGATGTTCCGAGTGATTCGTCAGCGCCCGTCACACAGACGACTGCTGTTTCATCGGGTGAGTCTTTTTCTATCCCGTCAGAGCTAACGCCTAGACCAGTAGTTTCTATCGCATCTGCCCCTGATGGCCCGGCCATTTTGGTTGCGTCTCTCCCATTGTTCATTCGGTTATGTCTGTTACCACTTCGTCGGACATAGGGGGTGGCGATGTTACGCCCCTAACAAGTGTTTGCGATGATCTTGGGTCTGCGGTTTCTCAACACCTTCGAGACAATATTTGGAATGGGGAATTTGTAGATTTTGCACTTCTTTTGCTGCCCTCTAGCAGTGTCAATAGTACCAGTGACTGTGTTTACTATTGGGTCCCGCGATTACCCAGCATGGCAAATTCGTCCCCACAATCAACCTCCTCGGATCACCTCAATTGAATAGTGGACCTTGGCTTGTCTAATTTTTGCATCAATCTATTTGATGCGGCACCCTACTCAGGCGAGGCAGCTGCTAAAATATGCCGACGTCATCCGTTCGGCTGCTTTTCAGTGTGTAGAATATGGGTGGCGTGACTATGATATTCAATTCAGGTTGCGCCAAGCTCGCATGCCGTCTCGGTCGTGAACCAGCACTGACGCTGAACTATGGCTAATGTTGGTCGGTGGGCCCGTCCAACAAGCCATTTTTCGTCCCTATTCCAACCAGGGCAACCACCAACGGGCAATCGGTCACACCAACATTGGGGCAAGCCGCACCGCCCAGCATGAGCACACTACCGGAATCTGTTTCAATTTCAACCGCGGCCACTGCTGCAGACCCGCCTGTCATTTTGCCCACAAATGCGCAACCTGCTTATCCGTCGGCCATTCCGCCGCCTCTTGCCCTATACCAATATCCAATTGCGTATATCAGTAGAAAGATGCTGGCACCTGAACAAAAATACTCTGGGCCTGAAAAAGAATGTCTGGCTGTTATCTGGGCCATTACCAAATCCAAGTACTATCTCTGTGGTCGTGTGTTCACAGTGCTTACTGATCACAGAGCCTTGCAATGGCTAGACAAGAGCAAAACTAGTAACAATCGGTTACTAAGATGGGCCATGATGCTACAGGAATATTCATATACAGTCCAGAACAGAAAAAAAAGTGCCAATGCAAGTGCTGATGGCCTTAGCAGGGCATAAAATCTGTCGTGTAAGGATTTATTTTACAAATTACTTACAAGGACTGCAAAGAAAAAGTAGCAATTTTCCGTGTGTATACTATTTTCTCGAAAACTTCATTTTCAGCATTAAGTTTGTTTACTGTAGATTTAGAAAACCCGCGATAATAATAACTTTTTCTGTGCGTTTATGTTTTTACGCTGTGTCACTCAATGTTTTTTATCTTTGATTAATATGTATTTCAAAAAGTGATTGCATTGTTGGCATCCTGCTCTGTCTGTGTCTCCTGTGTGGAAAAGGAACAGGCTATGAACAAACCTGTCCAAAACNTTGCTAGTAATTTTGAATTGAAGAGAGAGCTGTTTCAATATTCTGTGCATGATTGGTATTTAAGAGATGATGTGGAAGATATTGTTAAAAAGGTTTTGAAATCTGTTACTGATTGTAGACACTCCCAGCTAGCCAGAATGCCAAGAGGTTATGTCCCTCTCCATAGTACAGGGGATGGGGACTGCCTCTTCCATTCTTTAAGCTTACTGATGAATGGTAATGAGGAATGCACAGTCTTCTTGCAGCTGGCAGCCACTGTTTATGTGTCCACTATGAGTTTTTTCCTGGTTTTAATTTTGTTTTGTTGGCAGTATTCAGTGGCATTAATCAAAAATATTGTCCACTTAAATCTTGTACAATAACACATGAAAATTGCGAAATAACTGTATCAATGGCATGGACTGTGTTCTTTTTGTGTTTGCATTGGAACACTAACTGGCACCCCAAAGAAAAGTAATTTGTCTCTGTAACAATCATTCGGGGATATAGATTAGCACAATCACTTTTAAGGAATATATGTACTTTTTGATTTTTTGGAAATGAAGAAAAGTAAATATCCATTGAATTATGCAGTACCTGCAAGAGTGCACCAGTGTGCATGACGCCTGTGCTTTTATGCACATGATGTGACCTCATCCTGCACCCACAGCTGTGACAAACTGGACGCAGGAAGATATCATTGCACATACAATTCAGGACCAGGCTGCCTCCACAGCAAAAGTGAAATCCTATTCTGGTAGGTTGTGGTATTATTAATGTTTTCAAGCTATAGGTAAGGCCTACATGTAGAAAACTTGGTTGGTTTCATAATGTACTCTGAAGTGTCTTTCATTTGGCTTGTATGAATTGTTTAAAAAGAAATGCAAAATCAATTAAAGGGAAGTTTATGAAAGTTAATTTTCAGGCATAATGCAGGACCATAGGAATATACTGCGTGTACTTGTGTAGGAGAAAGTGTGGTGAACAGTTATCTACTTTTAGCAGTCACCTATAAAACAATCCACGTTCGAAGATGGAAATGAATCTATCATACATACACAACTACAACTGGTCTATTTTCCTGGTAATGCACATAACATATTATCAGAACTTGACAAATCTTCAGAAATAGTCCATTAATTAACTTCTACTTGCTGAACTTTGCCTGTGATGATATCATACAGCCTGTCAGCATCAGCTGATGTCCGAAAAGTATGGGTTCCTAAATTTAAATCATTCCATCACGTGAAGGTCTTATCTAACAGGTGAGTGGTATTCAACATGTTCAAGCGAGATGTATGACAAGCTAAATTGAATGCCTAGCTACCCAATTAATATGAGCTTCAACATTAAGCATGAAAAATAAGAATACATGTACATAGAAATTCGATTTCATGTGTCACAATTAGAATTTACTAGTACCTACATGTAGTTATTTTTGATGTCATTGGACGCCTCTTTGTCAATGTTTACATCAGGTATTAAGCTTGAAAACCACTGAAGATGTATGGAGAAATGTAGAATATAATCTTGTGCATGTACGTGTACTTCCAACAACTGTGTCACTTGTTAACTTTCACACATCCGTCTTCAATTTGTTTATCTGTCAACAGTGTTCATAAAATGTTTCATAGATTTTCAAGATTTACTGGACTTGTTCAAAACATCTTTTGTGCGCCATTTGCACATTAATAATATATGGGCTGTACTGTGTTTGTAGAGTTTTTCAATTCCTTTGCCACACCTGTGGCATTTAAACCCTGTGTGTTTGTAAATTCCTGCGCTTAATATAATAATATTTTGACTGTTCCAAGTATTCTACAGGTATTCTTTGCTGCTGGGTATCTAGGAGTGTTTATTCGGCAGTACTCAGAGGACTATGCCCCAGGGTATGATACCCTTCTAAACCCATGTGGATGTGAAGAGCAGGATGACCTGCCAGTCTTACATGTCATGTTGGTTAAAGTAGGATCCACTGGGGCCATGAACCACTTCATCCCAGTCTTAAACGTTTGTCCGTACAAGGAGAACTAAAAACCGCTAATGCCTTCACTAATGGTTAAGAAACATTGTAGTAATTCTCAGCCATTTCTTTCAATGTTCTTCTCTACCCTAACAATTTAAAGGTGCTCGGTCAAGATACAAGGCACATAAGGGCAAGAGGTTCAATCTTGAAGGTGTTGTGGAGAACTTCTGTTCTGCATGCTTAGGGCCCTTAAATATGTGTCAAGCAGATGTGTTCCACCTAGACACTTGGGTTGAATGGGATGTGTGTCATGGGTGGTATCACTGCCTATGCACAGGCCTATCCCATGCAGCAGCAGAAAAGATGAAATATCAGTGCTGTTCCTTGAATTGCTCTACCAGGTATCAATATTGTACCTCTCGATGTGATTGAGCAGTAATCATATACTCTTTGTTTGTGCCTATTTTGAATCTTCCCATTGAGTTGTAAATAACATTCTGCATCAGTGTTTGAATATTGTAACCACTATTTAGAAATTCTACTTAAACAGTGGAAATTTCCATTAAACAATGGAAATTCAGAAGTATGCCACTTTAAGGACCATTGTAAATCAAAATGTTATGAGTGGAATTTTTGGTGCAAATCCACAGGATTGAATGATTGCATGCATAATTTCTGTAATTTGTTGACAAGGAAAACTAATAGAAAAAAGTCTATGTAATTCTGTTGTGGCATATATGTCTGTTTGAGTGAATATAAATAGGGGAAATATTGAATTCTTTTTGAATTACTATTTTGATAGTGTTGCCAGGCTTGAGGGGTGTACAATATCTGTTGGAGAAATCAAGAAAGTGAGGAACGAGGAAGACCTTTCTGGTGATGCCATTGACTTCTTCATGAGGTAATCAAACCATGTTCCATTTCTTGTTCTTTCTGTGCATCCTTTTGTTAGTTCCCAGTGCTCAACCACTTAAATCTTTACTCACTTTGTTCTTCTACAAAGACTAGTTTATTTTTTTCACTCCCTAGTTTATTTTGGCTTGTCTTCTCTTGAGATACATTTCAGACTGTATGACCGTATTTGGTATTTTCTTATTAATCATTCACATGCATTTTTCAAAACTACAAACTACCAGAAATTTGTATGATTTTTTTCTATTTAAAATATTCCCCATGCAGACACTTGATGAGCAATGACAAACACCTAGATCTGTCCATATTTTGTGGGCCAACTATTCCACGTGAACAACTGGCTCCAAATTCTCTTCTTGAGGAAGCAATTCCTTGGTTGGGAGAACATCTACATGCCATTGGGATTTCCCCAGTAAACCTACAACATGTTGCCCTTA